GAAAACGGAAAGTGGGGGAAAATAACTTGGCCGATGTTTATGACGGAAATCTGTGGAAAGAATTCCAGAGCATTGATGATTCTCCTTTCTTGACTAAACCACGAAATTATGGCTTTATGTTGAACTTTGACTTTTTCCAGCCGATGAAACACCGTACGGATTATTCTGTTGGAGTATTTTACTTGGCAATTTTAAATCTGCCCAGGTCTGAACGTTTCAAATGGGAGAATATCATTATTGTAGGCGTTGTTCCTTCATTGGGAAGAGAACCCAAAGATTTAAATGAATTTCTCGAGCCAGCTGTGGACGAGTTGAAAGCCTTGTGGAAAGGGGTAAAGATCAAATCAAGCCTCAGCAGATTTGCCCTGACGTTTCGCGCTGCCGTTTTGTGTGTATCTTCTGACGTTCCAGCAACGAGAAAGATCTGTGGATTCAAGGGGCATTCCGCACAACTTGGGTGTTCCCGTTGCTTGAAGAAGTTTTTGGGTGGTTTTGGGGAAAAGAGAGATTACTCTGGATTCAACAGAAGCTCATGGAAACCCCGCACGAATGAAGAACATCGTCGAATGGCCATTAAAATGACTCGGTGTAAAACAAAAGCCCGACGAAATCTGTTGGGACAACAAAGCGGTATCACCCACTGCAACATTTTACTGAGGTTCGAGTACTTTGACGTTATTAGATTTTGCACGGTTGATCCTATGCACAATCTTTTTCTCGGAACTGCCAAGAGAATGTTTCAACTAAGGACAGACTCAAAACTTTTTACGCCTACCCAACTGAACGAAATCGAGGAAAAGATAAAAATAGTGGAAGTTCCAAGTGACATTGGACGATTACCGATGAAGATAACCAGTAATTGTGGTTCATATACAGCAGAGCAGTGGAAGAACTGGACCCTCGTTTACTCTATCATCTGCCTTCAAGGTATTCTACCAGAAGAACATTTCCGCTGCTGGCAGACATTTGTGTTAGCATGCAAATATTTTTGTCAGTCGACTATTACGAAAACAGAACTTGACATTGCCGACGCATTGATACTCAAATTTTGCAAGTCAGTGGAGACTCTGTATGGAAAAGATGCCATTACCCCAAATATGCACCTGCACAACCATTTAAAAGAGGTTATTCTTGACCACGGACCGGTAACCAGCTTTTGGTGTTTTAGCTTTGAACGATTTAATGGAATACTAGGCAGTACAAGAACAAACAAGGGATCCGTCGAACGTCAAATCATGAGAAAATTCTTACTGACAAGATTCCTGAAGGATATGAAACTACCAGAAGAGTTTCAAGGAAATTTTCTTAAATTTTGTTCACCTGAAGAAAATAGCACAGATGATAAAGATGTGTCCCCTAACGACTGGCCAACGGCCTATGAATTTTTTAACATTGCAACAAACGCACCACTACGTGGGATAAACTGGTTGAATAAATCGGGGATTAATGTTTCGTCATGCTACAAGCTTGTAAGTTTTGATGCCGACGATTTGAAATTACTGACCACCGTCTATAAAGTGATGTACCCAGAGAGGCAAATTGAAACAAATCATCTCGCAGAAACCATATGCAAATTTGGCTCACTTAAAATCTGGTCAACTACGTATGGGTCCAAAATGCAGCCCAGAGGAATACGTTCTGCCAAGATATTAGCATCCTGGCCGGAAGGGAATGGACAAGTCCTTCAAGAATCGTTTTTGTTATCTCCTGGCATCGTCCAGTATTATTTCACACATTCAATTAAGCTAGGAGACGAATATGTCTCACACCACTTTGCTTGTGTAAGATGGTTTTTTGCCCATGAGGAATCTTATTTTGCAAACCCAATTAAAACCTACAAAAATAAGTTCCTTCCGGGCGGACCAGCATCGTTTATGCCACTACAATGGGTATTTTCTAGGTTTGCCTCAGCTGAACTGGAGATGGAAGGGCAACAGACAATTGCTGTTGCACAGATAACAAGGAATGTGTACTTACAGAAATATCAAACACAAGCATTAACAGTCATCTCTGCAACAAAAAGTACAAGGGCACTTAATATACAGGTTCAAATATAATTTTCTGAAATTCAACTGTGAACAAGCAGATTCATAAAAACATTGTTCTAGTACTGTTAAAAAATTCAAGAGCGCAACTCTAGAGGGTTTTTGAATTGTCAACTCTCGTGCATTAACCTCAATATTACACAGCACCATTCCATCTTCCAAATTTCTGATTTCTTTACTTCAAAGACCTAAAAAGTTAAACGAATGAGCATTATGATAGGGAGCCTTTACCAAAGACTACATCTATGGATGGCGAGTTCATTTGATCATATTTATTGCTTAACTCACACAGTGTATTAAAAGAACAATAAGATAAAAACTAAATTGACCACAGATTAAGTCTGTTTCAAAAAAAAAAAAAAATCAGAAAGTTGTCACTTGCAATGTGTACCAAACCCCTCAAAACAAAACAAAACATGAATTTTGGCATTTGCAGCAAGTACCATGCATTGAGATTCCACTTTCTAGAAAGTTGAACATTCATAAAACCCACTATGTATATATATATATAGGAGTGTGAACGATGTAGGCTAATCAACAATGATTCCACCGAGAAAAGGATCCAAAGGATACAGGATGCTTCCTTCTTAAATGACGATAAGTGGAATAAACAGATGAAGAAGCGAACTTTTCTCTTGTGGCCTTTGATAAGTGTACGTTTCGCCCATTCAGGCTTCCTCAGCACTAAATATCAATAAGGACTCCTATAAAGCCACCCCAAATGATTCCATATTTGTGGTACCATTTAAGCCATATATATATACAGTCAGATAGATAGATTGATAGATATATAAATATATATAGATCACTGACTTGAAAACAAACTTGAACTCATCAGGCAATTGATTCCAGCATAGCAATAAATGCATCTGTATAACTTGTTGATCACACACTCAAGAAGAGTATCTGACAGCAAAATAATTGGTGGATCTGAGTTTCAATACTCATGAAAGTCAACCAGAAATTTTCATTGCAGAAATTTTATGTGTAATTCCTTTAAACTCAAAGGTCAACCCACATTTTTTCGCAGCTCAACTAGAAAGGATTGACAACACCTCCCTATATTGACCATGAAAGAAAAGCTAAGTATGCTATATATCCCAGAAGCGCTCAGGCATTACTCTGAATGCCAGGACTTCAGCCTGGGTGAACCAAAAAGGATAGACAACACTTCCCTATATTGACCATGAATAAAAAGCTCAGTATGTTGTATATCCCAGAAGTGCTCAGGCATTACACTGAATGCCAGGACTTCAGCCTGGGTGAACCAGAAAGGATAGACAACACTTCCCTATATTGACCATGAATGAAAAGCTATGTAAAACTTTGTTATATATCCCAGAAG